ATGCTTTTAGTGTACACTCTAACAATTTATCAAGTCAATTAACACATTTTTATTTGTAATAGTTCTTTGAATTTCACAGTGTTTCCTTCACATACATAAACCAAACTAAACAGCACAATAACCCAGACTCTAGGTAGAGTAGATTATATTGCACACATTTAATGGATGAAAAAAATTTGTAACCACATCTATCTAAATATTCAGACAGTACTTTCTACTGACTTTCTTTCTAAACTCACTTCTACTGAGTGTAACTTTCTTGAGAACAAGACAACATAAGAATTGAATACGGGATACTTGGATTTTAACCACAGTCCTGGGAGTTACTTGACTAATTTGAATAAATCACTGCAAGAATGTGTTAGCAATGATTCTCAATTTAGGGTATTAAAGTTCTCCTAAGTGCATATGACAAGGTGTAGGGGTGCACATTTCTATATGAATGCATAATATTTAACAGGAAATTTCTGCCTGGGGGCTGAGGTTGCTAAATTCTGTGCAAAGTATGGATAACACAATACAACCAGGAGCTACCCTGCCAAATTTGCCAAAATCTCACTTGTTGAGAGTCACTAGAGCAGATTATGAAACAGGTGCTTTTGAATAGTGATATATAGTTCTGTGACGTGAGAACTCACTCTCAATAATAGACAAGGGTCCTTTGGAGGAAAATGAACCCAGAAGATAAAAGAAAAGGTCAGGCTGTGAAGTCCAAAGAAAATATGTACTCAGAGTTCTTTCTTGATAGAGATGCTAATTGTAAAGTTCACAGAGATTAACCCCCACATATTAACACAGATAGATGTTAATTAGCACATTTTGATTTTAATAAGACTGTTACTAGCAATGTTATTCTGGGTTTTGTAAGTTTGGAGGAGTATGTGTGTGTGCATCCAGAAATTAAAAGTTAGAGGAATATCTGGAGAGAAGAGCTTATTCAAATCCTTACAAATGCATATGGAAACATGTCATGGAAACATATCATGGGAGCCTTCTGTGACTATGCCATCATGGAGGAACAAAGTGCTATGGTCTCCATGGTGGGAGGCAGTGGATTGACAGACTGATTTAGAGCCTGTTAACATAAATGAGAGGAGACAAGCCTGACCTATGCGCAACAGCCTCTCCACAAAGTTTAGACAAGGCAAAGATGTTTCTTTTCTCTCTGTCATTCTGTTTCTGTAGCCAACAGATGAGTATTTCATAGTGGAATAATTCAAAGTGAAAGAACCCATGGGTAATACAGCAACAGTCATCAAACATTCCTTAAGCCATTTGATCTCACTGGAGCATCCACATGCCATGTCTGCCTTTTTGCAGACAAATTCCATGCATTCAGTTGGATTTAAATCTTTCTCTCCATTCTGCCTTTCTCGTGTCCCTAGATACTGATAGAATTATCTAGCATTGGGCAAAGCACTAGCATAAGTTTTAAAATAGGCCCTTTCATAGTCTGCATCAGCGTCTCCAGTCAGAACCTGATTAGTCCTACACCCAGAATTCCATATCCCTTTATTTATCAATGCCTAAGTAGTTTTATATAGAGTTAAGGATCTTGTAGTTGTATGCGTTTTCCACAAATTACGTTTTTTAAAAAAAAAATTAGCATTGACATTTATTGTAACTTTCAAATATGTGTCCCCAAAATATACAATATATGATCTTACATATATTAGGTCCCCAACAAATGCTTTTGCCATAAATAAAATCTCTTTGAATGTATGCTCTATTTGACCAGGAAGTCTCAGAATCTCAGGGGCTACCCTTGGAACTTAATTAATGGAGAAAAGCTTGAACATTCAACACTCATGAAACAACATTTATCCCAAATGATGGAAGTCAAACATAATATCTGTTTGCTTCACCTAAAATATTTCCAATTAGAGAGGGAAAAAACAATGAATAAAATTGTCACATACATCTTAATGCTATAAAGACATATACTCCACTTTTAATCTTTGTATGCATTCAACTTTCTGTTATACATTCCAGACTGGTTCATGTGGTTTGTAGAAATCAAATTCTGTTTGGATTCTTGGACAAATGATTAATGCTTTGCCATACCCTTAGAAAATCACATTCAGCACCACGGACAGAGCAGAATTGCTCCTTTCTGAACTACAGCTGTTTCCTGAATTATTTTTTCCTCTACTAACACATCCAGACACACGTCTGTCTCTTAATTGCAGGAGGGGTTGGTGCAAGACGTCTTGAATTTTAATGACGTATTTTAAAAGGAAAGAAATAGACTAAAAGCAGACTAGGGGAAACCTTAAGTACTTTTGCAGGATTCAAAAATTAACACCCCTGAAAGTATGTACAGACCTTCAGAGGCAAACATTGGTAAGATACAGATGAACAAATGGCCGGAGAGAGTATTAATGATTAACAAATAGAAGATATTAAATGAGGCACACAGATAACTATCAGAGAATAGGAGGATAAGACTGAAAGCGTTGTCATCGTATATGCATCAAGGCCTACTGGAGGAAGTGAAATTTACATTTGTGGGTAGCAAAAAATTGGAGAATTTCGTATTCTGGATGGAAAAGGAATTCTCAATATCTCCTAATACAGAAATGATAAACAATACCAGAATTGTGATTACCCTTTTTGAACAGACACAGAATTTGACAACCACATAGTATTGTTTTCATAATGCCTTAGAATTATGAATTATAAAATTTGGCAGACTAGTCTGTGACCAACATGTGAACTTGATTATAAAAGTGTATAATTTTCACCTATGTTGTGCATTTTTTATGGAGAAAGCAGTCACTTGGTTTTAGACTTGTGCTCATTTCTTTATGAACACTTGCATTTGTCATATATTTATTAAATTTCTAGTATGTTTTATGAATAGAAAATACTGTTTGACCACTGTGTACAAGATATAGTACTATGTGCTGCCCTTGGTTTATCTCATTTAATTTTTATTTAGTCACTCTTTGTGGGACATACTTTCTTCTTTCTGCATGTCATAGATACAAGAACTGAGACTTGGAGGGGTTATATACTTTCTCCAAAGTCAAGCAGTTGTTATGTGTGTGTATGTTTTTGTGAATTTTAACAGACACTTTTGTTGTATTTGCTATTTACTAAGAATTGTTTAAAACAATTTATAAGAATAAAATGAATCATTTTGTTAGTATTGTTATTACATTCATTTTTATAGATGTGGAAATGGAAGTTTCATAAGGTCAAGTTAACTTACCTAAGATCCCACATTTACAAAGTGATAAAATCATGATTGGATCCCAGGCAACCTGAATTCAAAATCCACACTCTTAACCAACACCCTAAGCTTTTTGGAAAAGTCACTTTAACAAATACCTTAAACTATTCTTCTTAACTATTTCCTGCTCACATCCATCCTGAATATCCCTTGTAATGCAAGGGACTTCGAACCATCACTTAATCATTATGTATAATCAAGTTTTTGTCACGTCAACTTTTCATTTCTTTAGTGGCTTGGGAAGCCACTTCATTGCTTCCAAAAGTACTTGGAATCTCAGTTCAGGTGTCCTGAGAACTACAGGACAATCAATGTAGTTTTCCTGTAATCATGGGCATCGTTGTCTACCACCGAAATTCAAGCCCTCTAGCCTGCTCCCCCCCACAACCCCTATGCATACACACATGCAATTGTGTATCTTATTGTGCACTTTTGTTTATAATAATCTATGCTTCCTGTTTTCTAAAATTTCTCTTGACTCCTATTTCTGTGCCAGTGATAACTTCAACTCTGTTATAAATGCTTCCTTTATATCAGAAAGCTTCTCACAGAATGTTCCCTCACCTTCCTTTGTTTCTGAAACCAACTCTCCCCTGACAACACTTCTTCTCTGAAGCCTGTTTATTATTTCTCACCTGATGGTCTCTGAGGTGATGTCACCATTCTCTACCTTGTCTTTGCTTCTATTACAAATCTTTCTTATGCTGTCTTATAAAAAGCTCTGCTTTGTGTCTCACAATCTCCAGCTGTGCATTTTGTTGATTTATGGGCCCTTTATAGGATCTTATATAAATAACTGACCCATTCCTTTCCAAAATGCACAAATGTTTTTAAAACAGTATTTGAGTCCCTAGCTATAAATACATGAGTCTCAACAGTATCTGCATGAACCCTTTGACCAGAACTCCTGGTTCTAAGCACCCTTTGCTACTCGTAAATGTCATATATTGGATATGATTTCACTGCACACGTCATTTAGGACCTGGATTTTTGTCTTCCCCTGAACTCCACCTCTCTCCTTCAATCTGAGCCTGATTATCAATACAACCATACTACACTCAGCATTTCTCAATCTCTTTGAATCAAACAGACTTCAGAGTAATTCACTTAAGCATCCCACAGTAGAGCATACCATTATCCAAAAATATCAGCATCAAATATTTATTGATCTCCAATTATATATGGGAGATACGATAATAGTTAGCATTTATTGATGCAATATGATAGACATTGTACTAAGCAACTTACGTCTATTAACTCTTAACCCCCATCATAATCACTGTTAATATTTCTGGGGGGTTTTTAATGAAGAAAGTAAACTAATATTGGTTAAATCACCCATCCAAGTTTACATACCTATAAGTAGACGGAAGCTTGGACTTAAACCAAGAAAAATGTGGCTGTGGGGCCCATATTCCCAACTATATCACTTCTGTGCAAGCTTTGCTGCCTAATGAGAAATTCATGTAAGTAGACAAGTCAATTGTGCTAAATAAATAAACAATCTAATTGCTATTTGATATAGTTGTAGACTGCCTACACAGACCCTAAAATATAGAAGGCAATCATAAATATGAGTAACTTTTCTTTCCACGTTCTTCAGGGGAACTTCACAGAAAGATTATTCAGAAAAAAAAGGAGCTTACAGCAACTATTTAGACACTGAAGAAGAGATTTTAAGTGTTTGAAGATTTTAGATGTGCATATTTTAGATCTTCAGCTCTACGTGCGGAGATTTATACACACTGTATCTTATCTTTGCCAGACTGAAATTTCTCATCCAAGCTCCATTTGTTGAGAACCTGAAACCCTGAGAATATTTCCTTTGACAAAATCCCAACAGCTCTTAAATCATCTATCTTCAAGGAAAGTGAAAGAGAAGAGACACATTGGAGGTATGAAGGAGAAATATCATTTTGAGAGACAGAATCTCCAGGGAAATTGGGCTGTTCTGTTAAAATGAATTTATTGGCCCCTCATAATGCCACCCTTGCTAACACCATGCATTGTTTACTCTGTTCTTTTATTCCTTGTCCCTGGGAGGAAATATGGTATTGTGCTTGCCTTTTAAGTGATTTCAAAACATCTATTCACTACCCACTCTTAACTGTTCTGCCTACTACTCCCTGATCTGCCATCTCTAAGTACCATCTTATGCTGGCATTTTTTTTTCACAACAACTCTCAAATATCCCAGAACATCTAAAGAAAGCAAAGTTACTTAGCCTGGCATGCAAAACCCTGAAAATCAGATTTTCTATATTTTCCAATTGTTCCAATAGGATCTAATATCAATTTACCATAGAAGCTGTTCTTGCTTATTCATTTATTTCCATCTATTTTTACCTTGCTTAATTAATCAAGATACGAAATTTTAAAGGTTTTTTTTTTTTTTTCCTGCTGATATTCTCTTTCTACCTTGCCATAAGATCTCCTGATCATCTAGACTCTATGGCTTACAAATTGACAACTCCAGTTTAGAACTGTACTCTGAATTACAGATCCATTTGTGTAACTGCCTGATTTGTATATACACTTCCATGAAACTCGCTGTTTATTCTAAGATAGGTTACTTCAATTCTCTTTACTTTTGTTTCCTCATTTGTAAAATGAGGAGACTGGTCCATCTCACACCCAGGGCTGTTCTGAAGATTAAAACAGCCAAGTTCTATAAAATGCCTAGAAGAGTGTCTGACACATAATAAGTGTTATATAAGTGTTACTACTATTGGTATTTTCATGTTTAATGTTGCAATCATACTATGTCCAACCTACAGTACTTGGCCATCACTAATAACACGCACAAGCATCGTTTCTTCTCACGTCTTTCCTACTTAAACAATACTTCTGTGCTTTAATTGTTCTGACCCAAACTTCAACATTATCTTGATGGTTCATTTTCCCTCACACCACTCATATTTAATTTATCACCAAGTTGTTGCTATTGTAACTCAGAAAAGAACATCTCAAGTCCATTTACTTCTCTTGTTTTCCACTTCTACCACCATATGAAAGTCATTATTATCTCTCACACGGACCATTACAATGGCTTACTAATAGGTTTCTTTGCTTCCGTTCTTTCCACTTCTGTTCATGAAAGAGCCAGAGTGATTATATAAAATATAAATTTAAACTTTGAGAATTCATTCATTGTTTCTAGAATACATTTTACCATGGCATAGAGAATATTCAGAATTTGCTTCTATGTTATTTCCAACTTCATTTGATAGCTATTTTCCCTGAATCTCACTGGATCCTATACTCATTAACCTCCTTTCTCTCTCTCCAACATGCGAAGGTCTCTCCTACATCTGAGATGTTGAAAATTATATTTCATTTGTCTGGAAAGTGATTTTATACACTTTTTTGTACATCTGTCCAATTTTCATAATGGCTCACGATTGTGTGATCTCACAATTATATCAAATCTCATATAAAATGCCACCTCCTCAGAGAGGATTTATCTGATCATTCTACTTAAAGCGAACTCTCCCTGTTAGACTGCATCTTATTATCTTATTGTTTTCACAGCACATTGTTTTTTTTAATGATCTTGTTGATTTATAATGTACCTTTTAATGAGTTCCCGCTAGAATATAAGTTCCATTAGGGCAGGAGTCTTGTCTGTGTTACTCGTTGCTGCATCTCCATCATCTTGTCCTCAATGAATATTTACTGAATGAATGAAAGACCCATATTATCTTTCCATTTGAACATCCTCTATGCCATTCAATTGTGAAATAATTTCTTATAATGTGTGATGCATTAAAATTTCCCTCAATTTGAACTTGTTGCTTACTTTCTTAGTCCTTATTCCTCTTCTAGATTCTATGTCTCCTCAAAAAATGGCTTCTTCATTTTTACCATTATATTCCAAGTGAAAAGCACATGGTCTGACAGATCATGATGCTCAGTAAATGATTAATCAGTGACTGAATAGCCTGTGTTTGGAATATAGTGTATGTGATCATCCAATCACTCATTTAATCAACATATATTAAACATACTCTATGTTAAGCAAACTCTAAGCCCTGAAGAAACAAGAATGTTTAAGACAGGCATGGTTTCTGCCTATATCATGGAGCTTATAGTCTATGCTGGGCTTTCTCAACTATTGACACTATTGCCACTTGGAGCTGGATAATTCTTTGTTAGGGGGTCTCTCTGTTGTATTGTAGGAGGTTTGGCAGCATTCCTGACTTCTACTCACTAGATGCCTGTAATATGCTTCCCCTCTCCCAGCTTTGATAACCAAAAGTATCTTTGGACATTGGCAAATGTCCCCTGGAGGGCAAAAATCACCTCTGGTTGATAACCACTGCTCTACTGAAAGAGACAGATGTTGCTATGTATGCAGAGATGCATGTAACTACAAATTTTGATTAATGCCATGGAAAAAGTAAAAGCTAAAATGCAAGATTCTAAATGGGGGGACTGATTTATATTGGTGGGTGCAGATTGTCAATGGATTAAATGTTACTGATGATAAGTGATATTTAGACTTTGGTCTGTAGGAAGACAGGTAAAGAGTTGGAAGAAGAAGTTTTAAGGCAGAAGGAAGAACATGTGTAGAAGCCTGAAGCTTGACAAAGTTTGGTTTATGCAGAGAACTGGTGCATAACGACTGAGGTGCAAGGTGGCATGGAAGGGAGCTGGGCAGTTAGGCAGAGGCAAGATCATGCAGGCTACTGTGAATCATTACGAATTTAGGTGTTTATGTTAAGATTAATGAGAAGAATTTAGGCTTTTAAGCAGCAGGGGTGGAACAGGGGAATCCAAAACCGAATTGGATTTCTGTAAACATATCTTGTGGCAGGATTTAGGGTGACAGAGAATGGTATTTTAATTTGGAGGGATGGTGTTTGACATAGAGAAAAGTGGATGACTGATAAAATCAACTTGCGTATATGGATGAAGAATTAGTTGGATTCATAAATTTCCCAGGGGAAAATATCCTCCAATGTGAAGATGTCCTGGGTTGGGAAGACCAAGGGGATTTTTTTTTAGGAAACTTTGGAGCATATTTACCAACTTTCCTCCTTTGTCTCTTTCACACTCAGTCCAGCTCCTGTGTCAGTCTAAAGGTTTCTTTCTTGCACACATCACAGATGGTTCCCACTCTTTCTCTTCTCTGGAGAGACCACGACTCCTTGTTGCCCCAGGTGTGAGCATGTGTGTGTGTGTTCAGTATGGAGAGTGGGGAGCAAGTCAAGTGGAATGAGTTCCAGAGTCTAGGGACCTGAAGCACGAATGATCACAGGGTAAATTGTGGGTTGTTTCCGTTAGCCCTCCACCTGCTTTGAGTTGTTATGTTAATTAGCAATGCGAGTGCAAGCTGACAGCTTTGGCAGGGAGCAGTAATGCAGTGGGAGGTGAGGGAAGGCAGTCTTGCCGGGGAAGTTGTTCCTGATTTATAAATACACCTGATTATTATGGTGGCGCCCATGTGTGATTTCATAGTTAAGGGTCTGTCAGTTGTCCTCATCCAAACCCTTTGTTTTCATAGATTTCTAACACAGTGAAAGAAATTCACTCCATCTCCAGACTCAGCATACAAACCAAGTGTTGTTTTCAAACATTAAAAAAACCCTATTAGATTCACATTTACGAGGAAATAAAGACAGGTTACTGAGTTAGTTCAACTAAAAATTATTTATCATGTTTTAGTTTGTTGGTTTTTAATTAGACCAAGCAGTGTCTTAACTGGAATGGAAAACAGCAATCAATTGCTTCAGCCATCTTAAAAAGATGGGTACAGTGAGGCTTCCTCCTGAGAATTTAGAAAATGCTTTCATTCATTTGTATATCCAGCCAATGGTCACTTACTGGACATTTACTTAGCACTGAGCTCTTGGCAAGGAAAGGGGCAGACAGAACAAATAGCAAGGTAAAGTTGTTGTCTTGGAGTAGCTTAAAATTTGGAGGGACACAAATTTAATCATTACATCCATGGCAAAAAAACAAAACCAAGCAAACAAACTCAAACACAGAAATGTGAATATTGTGAGCACTAGAAAGAAAAGTGCCTGGCACTGATGTGCATCTAGAAAAGAAGAAATGGTAAAAAATATATATATGTATGTATGTATATGTAAAGGAAGAAAGGAAAGGTGAGAGTAATACACTTGTGTTTCTATGTTATTGAACCATAGTAATAGTAGTGAGAAAGGATTTGCATTTTCAAGCTGTTTTGATAAAGAACCTGTCTGTTTCCTTACTGCTGTGAAGTAAACATCACAGGGGAGTGGAAATGGGCAGGGAACTTACCTAGGACAGAATTCAGGTCTCCCTCTCTCACGTTCCCCAAGAAGAGATAAGACCTTTCTCTTTGTTTTTTTGCTTACGTGTAACCCTGCCAATCCCTGAATGAAGGGGAAATCACTTTAGCTGTTACTAATTATCTGAACTTGGTTTATAGGCAGGATCTTTCTAGATCCACCAAGGGCAATTTTGAGAAAAATTTTAAAAAATAAAAATAAGATTTTTTTATTATTATTATTTTTTGCTGGGGAAGATTAACCCTGAGCTAACATTTGTGCCAACCTTTCTCTACTTCACACGAATGATGTAGGTGGGGGCCCAGGATCCAAACCTGCAATCCCAGGCTGCTGAAGTGGAGCGTGTTGACTTAACCACTACGCCACAGGGCAGGCCTCAAAAATGAGGCTTTTTAATTAATAAAAGTGGTATAGACAAGAAGCCTGGTGAGGCTAGGGAGGGATATTTTAAAAGTCTGAATATCAGACAAGTGTTCAGAACTGAGAAAATAGACCCCAGCTGGGATGGCTGCTCGTGAAGAAATTAACACAGAGGCTGAGAGAAGGATCTCCAGAAAGTCCATGACTTGAGCTTAGCATCTCTATTGGCTCAACATCCTTGTCAGTTGGTGGCTCCAT